TATTCTATTCTATTCTATTCTATTCTATTCTATTCTATTCTATTCTATTCTATTCTATTCTATTCTATTCTATTCTAAGAAGCTGGCCTTGGCAATCTCTAAGGAGTTCCATTTCTTCAAAAGAAGTGTCGTTTAGGTTGACATCCCAGTCCATCACTTAACGTTTTATATTGTCGAGGTTAATATTTTTAACTTTCTTCTTTTGTTTAGAATGCTTTTGTTCCACTTGACAACATGCCTCTGAGCATCCCAAAAATTTACCAGGGGTTACACTGTATTCACACTGGCCCACCATATACTACAGCATTTTTCCTAGCTGTTGATATGAAACAGGAAATGAATAATGATAACTTTATAAGTTAATTTTGTTAAGGTGGTATGTGCATGCCATTCCTTTCCTGGATTTTTAATTTGCCATTCTCCTATTGTAGGGGTCTCAACCTCCAGGCTGCAGCCCATTACTGGACTGTAGCCTATTTGGAACCATGCCGTGCAAATGGTGGGCCAACTTGTGCCAGTGGTGGGCCAGCATGCATGCACATGCACACACTGCTCAACTTCCACAAGTCAAACTGTGCGCACATACGCGTGCGTGCTGACCCACCACTCACACAAATTGAGCTATGTGTGCATGGCAGCCTGGCATTTGTGCATGGTCCCCTCCCCCTGCCAGCCTGCCAACCACAAAGGCTGGGAATTAGTGTCCTATTGGGTTCTGTGCCATAGAAATGTTCCATTGAAGCTCTCCAGTCTTATTCACACATATCCCACAGCATTCCGTTTTTAGAGCCTTGATACTCTGAACGGTATTGATGGGGGTGCAGGCACAGGTGTCCCACACTGAAGCCTCTGACTGGCCCTTCATTTCTGCCAATTTCCTCAGGTCCTACGGAACATGGTTCACTGTGCAGATTTGAGCAACCCCACAAAGCCTCTGGAGTTGTATCGGCAGTGGACAGACCGGATCATGGAGGAGTTCTTCAGGCAGGGTGACAAAGAACGGGAGCGAGGCATGGAGATCAGCCCTATGTGTGACAAGCACACAGCCTCTGTGGAGAAGTCACAGGTATGTGTGGTAGCTGTATGGGGCCATAGCTCAGTTAAGGAGGAAGAAAGATTCTACTTCTCCATTTCTGCCAGCATTCAGAACAGGAAAAACCTTGTCTGGGGGTTGGGTATTTGTTGCTATAGAAACCTTAGCTCCATTACAAGGCAGCTTCATCCCAAAGTTGCAGTAGAGGAACATGGGTGTTTCGTTATATAAGACATTTGCAACGAAAAATTTATTGGAGATTATAGTAGGTGGGTCCCTTGCGCATCCCCCTCTACCAAAAAATTCTACCTAAAGAAAGTAGCAGAGCTTGATCATTGAACTAGAAGCAGCCAATATTGATGCTCTTCACCGTGACAGCATCTTAAATGGCCTTTCGGACCAGGCCTTTTTTTTTTAATTAGGAAGGTTCATCCTGGACTCTTTACTTACCGTATTTCCCCATGTATAAGCACCCCCTTTGTATAAGCCACCCCCCGCAATTTTTGGACTGTGAAGTTTTGAAAAAAATATTTTATTAGAGAAACAAGTTATGAAGAAAGAAAATTTACAAAGAAACAAAATTCGACGTCTAGATCTACAACTTCGGTCATGACGCCGAAAGCGGTGCGGGCGACGCTAGCAATCTACGCATCGGAACGAGAGTAGGAATGAAGCATTCAGGCCGATGCCTAGCGTATGCATTTCTATCGCGTACTCGCACTCATAATCGTATCATCACGTACAATTTTTACAAAAAAGTATAGCATACTGCTGGAAAACCAGTTTATTCCTACTTTATTATTTTATGCATTTTTCACGTATAAAAAGTGTACCTGCTTTGTATATGCCACCCCACTACTTTTTGGGCTTGAAAATTTTGGAAAAAAGGGGTGGCTTATACATGGGGAAATATGGTAACCAGCAAATTGTGCTCCCACTCCATGAATTAAATCTGCCCTTGTTTACTAGGAATACTTTTTCACCCACCCCACCCTCTTATTGTTTAGGCTGTTAAAGTTATACATTGTGCAGTTTAACTGGGCAAAAGTGAGGAGTAACTCCAACATTTCATTTAAAAATGCTCTATACTGTTTTAAAATATTTTTTAAACTCCCTACGATTCAGAAGTCCATTCCGGTATGAATGGGGATTGCAGCATTTTAAAATGCATGTGATCGTGTTTCTTTTTTTTTTTTTTTTTTTTTTTTTTGGGGGGGGGGGGGGAGAATTTGCTCCAGATTGCAAGAGAGCCTTTTCTCTTGTGGGACTGCATCTTCTATATTCTGTTGCTTTTGAAATTTTAAAACAATTCTTACATACTTCTGGAGAGCAAAAGCATTTTCTTTGTATGTACAATAGGGTTATTTCATATATAATATTAGTGCTAATTTTACCATTTAAAGATATATTTGTGTACAGAAGGTGCAGAATTTGCTGTAAAGTTTTACTCAACTCAACATTTCTCCCCCTCCCCCAAGTTTTATATATATATTCAGGTCATAAAATTGAAGATAGGGAATCCACCCTTTTTGAATGACAAGTATCAAACCAATGGAAATGTTCCATTTGAGATGTTGGCTTTAGATTCCCAAGAATGCTAAATTTGGAAGTATCAGAGCAGACAATGAATTCCATTTTATACTTAGTCATGACACAAATTTACCTCTTGAGTAGGAAGTCTTAAGGGAAAAACAGGTTTCTGCATCCACCTGTTCTAAAATTCTATTTGGCAAACTCTTGAATCGTATTTGAGAAACTCGGATGAAGGCTCCAGTAATGGACCGATGGGACATACCCACCTTTTTCTTTCATTGCTTGCATTATTTAGGGACTCTCTCTCTCTCTCTCCTCTTTCTCCTCTCTCTTTCTCTCTCTCGTTTTGTGGATGAACCTTTGCTGGGTGTTCTTCAGTAGTTGGGTGGGAATGGGCCACTCCCATTGCCAGTCTAACTTCCTCTCCTCCTCCGTCAGGTGGGATTCATTGACTATATTGTGCACCCATTGTGGGAGACATGGGCCGACCTTGTCCATCCTGACGCACAGGACATTTTGGACACTCTTGAGGACAACAGGGACTGGTACCACAGCATGATCCCCCAAAGTCCCTCCCCACCTCCAGACGATGCCGAGAAGGATGAGGAGTCCTGTCTAGAGAAATTCCAGTTTGAATTGACCCTGGAGGAGGAAGGGGAGGACTCAGAACCATCCGAGAAGGACCGCAGCAGTCCTGGAGACGAGGACAACAGCTACTACACAGCCACAGAAGAACAACACGAGTCCCAGGATGGGCAGGACAGACGAACGGACAGTACAGCAGTTGGCACATCCCTTGGCGCATCATGACTGTGGGAAGGGACAAGTGAAGAAAGCAAGCTCACCTACAGACACACACACACCGAAGTTTTCATGAGGGAGGGGTGGGGATAAAAAAAAATGGAAAAAAAACTCATTTTTTATTTTTATTGTATTTTTTATAAAATGAAAACTAAGAAAAAAAGGGGGGATGGGGAATACACACAACAACTGTAGAACCAGGTTGGCCCCAGCAGAGGGTAGTAGCCTGCTGCTGTAGTGACTGGCCCAAGCACTCCAGAAATATTTTTTCATTTTTTCCCCCACTTCCCTTCATTATTTCTGACTGGTTGTTTTTAATTACTTCATTTTGCTAACTTTTTTAGACTTCTGCAACCAGGAAAGGGAAGAGGGCACTGATGATGTGAGGCATGTATGTAGCAGCTGAGAGGCAAAAGCCAATAGAATTATTTTTAAAACAGTGATTTTGCCTATTTGTAGTAAAAATAGATGAAAGTGCAGGAGCTTGACAACAAAAGCTGGTAACCATTTGACATAGATACACACAGAGAGAGGTTCCCATAGGTCAGTGTTTTCCAACCGCAGCAACTTTTACAATGTTTGGATTTCAACTCCTAAAGCTCCCTACCCAGCCCTCCTGGCTGGGACGATTCTGGGAATTAAAATCCACACAAATGTGCTGAGGTTGAGAAACCCTGCTGTAATTCCTTTGTTCCAGATATGTCCTCCCCATTTAGCTCATGTATTTGTGCCTTTATTTCATTGGAGCTCTTCAGAGGGTGTCAGAATCTTAACTCCTCTCCTCCAGTGTCCCTTTAGAATAGCTGGAGGTTAGAGTCCAGCGCCACCTGGAGGTCTATATATTTTTTTCAGTTCCCAGGTGGACCTTCAAACATTGGAGAAGGGTGAGAGGAAAAGTATTGTTTTTATTTTTGTAAGTTATTTTTTAAGCTAGTGGTTATTTATTTTTGTGAATTTACATAGATTTGATTTTTATTATGAACTGATGAGAAAGTTTGCCTTTGAGGATTTTGTTGCTGTTGCTATTGTTCAGGTTTTTTTTTCTCCCTTCTTGGAGCAGTTCTTTCTGTTTTCTATTTAATGTATAGTTTGCAGGTGTGGATTTTTAATTTTTTTGCCTACAATGCCATAGACTTCTCTCAGAGCAAATGGGAGAAGATACTATTTTACAGAAAATGAAACTATAAAAAGGGAACAAGAATCAAAAACATTCTATCCAAGTTTTTGAATAGCTGAGTCTTCCTCCGTTCCTCATTTTGCACAAAAATAAAAAGGCAATATGGCCAGGATCAAATATTTATGCTGGCCAACTTGCTTAGACAGCTCTCAGCTGGGGATCTCAGGTGTGAGTATTCCTTCCTCCAGGTTGGGGATGGAATCAGCAGATAAGAGGACTGGAGATAGGGGTGGTGTACGCTGAGTGATGTTTGTATTATCAATGATTTGCAATTTTATCTTCTTTATCTGTATCTGGATGCTGGTTGATGAATCCGACATGACAGTGCTCACAGGTTTCTCAGCTACAAAAAGTAGGTGTATAGAAAGGATCTTCCCATTTCCCCCAGAAGAATAGAAAATTAGCAGCCTTTCCTAATGATCTTTATTTTTGTGTGATGTGGTGTTATCAACAAGGCCGGAACACAAACATTGATTTATAGAGTTGAAACTGGAATAGGAGAGATGAGTTTGGTTTTAATCCATAATTTCAGAAGAAAGAGCCTGTAACATCCTTGGTTCCAGAGATGAGGCTCTGTCTCAGACACCCTCGGCTACATAGTAATGGATGGAGTGAGATGGAGCCCATCTGTTTTATTGGCTCAGAAAGCCGTATCACTTAGCTATAAAGTAAGGAGCAAGTTGCTTAGATCAGATTTGAGACTCCATTCTAGGAGTTCAGGATAATCAAATGAAAAAGTCTCCTGCCTTGAAATCAGGTTTAGAGACAATTCTGCCAACAGTAGTTAGCCAAAGGGAATCTGATGACAGATTTCCTTGTTCCTGTAGAGGCTGTGAAAGTAATCTGAGTCTTGCTCCACATGTTACCACGTCAGATCCCTCTTTCCTCCATCCTGGAGGGGTCTGTAATGGCGGTTCTTCCCAGAAAAACAGAGCCTGTATTGGCATGACAGAAAATAAAACTAGGCCCCTCTATGAACCTGCTCTTGATTATCATCTCCCAGGAGAAATCTGTTTGGCTGCTTATTTTCTTTGCCTTAACTAGCGAAACTGATTTGCTAAATGCAGCATCCTTGCATCTTGGCATTGAAGGGAGAGCATTTTCCCATTCCCCCAATGCTTACATCACATCAAATATTTGTTGGTACGCCACTAGTCTTTCACTGGACAAGGGATGCTGCAGGATCCAACCTTCAAAGTTGCAGGACCATGATCCTCTTGGCATTGTTTCTCTGCCTCTGTGGACTAGTCTTGGGCTGGTTGATGTGTGGGCATATTCCCCACCCCTTTGCTAAACAGCCATGCCTCCTGCTGTTTACTAGTAGGAAGACAGCTGTAGTTTTGGATTTGTTGAGTTTCTTGATGGCAGAGCCATTGAGTGTGTAGCCTAGTTCAGCTTCTCTTCCAGATTCCTGAGGGAGAAGATACACTGCCCCTCCCCCTTTGTCCCTCTTATATGGCTACCCAGCATCAGTGCACAACTCCCATAATCTCCCCCCACACACACACACCTTGTGAGAGGTGAGGGTGAAGCAATAACAACTAAGCCCTTTTCCTGCCCCCATCGCTACAACTGAACTGTTGAACCAAAGCCAAATCTCCTCTTTTGCAAAGGTCTCATTCCACACATGGATGCCACCCACTTTGCATTGGCTGCTCCTTGGCCAGCTCTCTTAGCATGCAAGCTTAGCCGAGTGAATGTTTCAGGCGTAGGTCAGCCCAAGCTTGGAAGAGGAAGTTGTGGGATAGGTGCTGGGGCTGCTGCTTGGGTAGACCAGAGGGCTGGCCTGAGACCATGACACCTTTGGTTAGCCACATCATACCCTTGGAGAAGACCAGCTGCACAGAGAGCCTTGGCAAGGTTGCTGTCCCTTGGTGGCCCGCCTGCTAAGAGCTGCCATCCCTGCATTGCCAGCCTTTGCAAGGAGGCCAGTGTAGGGCATCTCCTTTCCAACCCAAGGGAAAAAACATGGCCATTTCTGAACACAGTACTGTAGCTATTTTCTTTGTATTTTTACTTTTCTTTCTTGAAGCCTCAATTGTAAGGGATAAATAAGAAAGAGAATCTCTTTCTAATTTTCTGTATAGCTTTTATTTTTGTATGCAGTTCTGTTCCACAAGTTTGTTGGGTCAGGTTTGGACTGTACATAATTGTGAATAAGCAGATTGTAAATTATTCTAAAAAGTAAAAAGAATCTTGCAAACAAGATCCCCTTTCCCCTGCTGGCCCTTCCTCTCCCACCCTCCACTCTTGCCAGGGGTCACGCTGTGTGCTTGAGAGCGTCCAGGGAGAAGAAGAAGAAGGAGAGCTCTGGGAGACTCTCCAGCTGCATTCTCTCAAGAGTTCCTCTAGGGCACAGATCCCATTGCAATCCCTCCTCCTCCACCACCACCACACCTTTCTCCTGTCTGTGTATTTATGGTGTAATATAGACACACTGGACATTGTAGACTTGTCATTTTTCCTTGCAGTGTCGTTAATCAGCTGTTGCGATGTTCTCTCTCAGATGTTACCAAACCGTTCAACAGCCAAGCTCACAAATAAATCAGGAGGAAGGGATTCTCTGTGCCTCCAACTATGACCTGGCTTCTCTGCAAGGCTGGGTGAATTGGGGAGGGGTTGTGGGGGAGAGTTGGGAAAGATGCAGCTGCAGCCTTCTCTGAACTGGCAACTTCTCAAGGTGCTTGACTACAGTTCCCATCATTTTCACCCAGGGTGATAACCCCATGGATGACAAAGGCTTTTGGTTGGATGCATTGGGAGAACACTAGGTTGAGCAAGCTATGGCGGTAATTTTCAGCTGCCCAAATCATTAATAGGAGGAGGATAAATAATATTTCAGCTAAAGGAATGCTCTCCTCCTCCAGTGGATTATTCAAAGACTTTTGAGCCTTAATGCTAGAAGGCAATTAAGCACTAAATTCATGAATGGAAGGTAAAATAAATGAAATAATTTATTTCAAAGGATTAGACTAGATTAAAGGGGAGGAAAAAATGGCCCTACATGTGAAGGATGTGCCTTCATATATTGAGACTCTGGATGAGGATCCAACTGAGACTCTGTAGGTAAGAATAAAATGGTGAAACAATGAAGTTATTACTGGGGAGTGTGGTATAGGCACATCTGGATTATATCTCCCTGGGTTGAATTGTGGAATCCTTGGGGAGGATAATTTTATGGGAGACTTTAAGAGTTCCCAAATTACTCAGTGTTCTTGTTTCATGTTCCAGAAGCTTGAAGGCGGCAAGGGGATTGACTCTTAGATCTGGTCCTGAATCCTATTATATAATATATTTACACGCTGTACAAATGAGAGGTGGAAAAGGGGTGGGAGGAGCAGTTTTGGAAATTGTGGATGCACAAGGAGTTTTCACTTCAATTAAAAGTGAAATAGGACATATGTAGTAAAAGAAGGATGGCTATAATAACTAAAAATATTGAAGTTAAAAAGGCTGAAGCACAAAAGGAACTTAGCCTTAGCAACATAACAGTCTTTTTGGCCAAGGAACCATGCCTGTAGTCTCCTTACCCTATGCAAAGAGACTGCACAAATCCAGATGAGCCCTAACAGGCAACAGATTTTTTTAGAAATCCCCTTAAATCTTTTGCTGTCTCGAAATGGTCAGTAAATCAAATTCTAAGGTTAATAATATAGTACATACTAAGTTGGGAAAAAATTACATGGATATATTTGAGCACTCCCCCCACAGCTAAACCTGGCCAAACTGAGCCAAAAACATTATGCAGCAATGTCTATATTCTCAATCATCCAGGTCACAGTTAACCCAAAGGTGTTTTTTTCAGACTTTTTCAAAGAAAAAGTCCAGTTGCCTCCTGAAAAAGAACCTTTGGGACATTTACACCGCAACTGCCTTCTGGTAGGACAAATTTGGGTGGCTACTAGCAATAGCACTTAAGACATATATACCGCTTTACAGTGCTTTACAGCCCCCTCTAAGCGGTTTACATATTGCTCCCAACAATTTGGGATCCTCATTTTACCCACCTCAGAAAGAGGTGAGTCAACCTTGAGCTTGATGAGATTTGAGTGGCCAAATTGCAGGCAGCCGGCAATCAGCAGAAGTAGCCTGCAATACTCCACTGTAATCACTGCACCACTACTATATGCAGGCAAGAGAAATGAACCTGCTATCAGTTACTAGCTATTTGGTCAACAGGTCAAGCGTTCTTTTAAATTAAATTAAAGCCTATACTCACTTGCAGTACATTCCTTGATATTCCTTACCATATGTCCTATTGCCATTTTTCTTTACGGGTTTCAAATGCAAGGTCATAATCCATTTAGCGTAGCACATGCTGATTCATACAAAGTACCATCACTCAAGGCCATTTCATTAGTCAGTTTCTCAAATTTCCAGTAGTCATGCTGTATCATACGTAAGAGCCATGGTGGCAGAGACTAGAATGCAGTACTGTTTGATTCTCACCAGTTCAAGTTGACTCAGCCTTCCATCTTTCCAAGATTGGTGAAATGATAGATTGTGGGGGGCAATGTCCTGACTCTGTAAACCGCTTAGAGAGGGATGTAAAGCACTGAAGCATTATATAAGTCTAAGTGCCATTGCTGTTATTACTTCTATAATTCAGTGAACCAATTTTCACCCAATGATCCACTTTCTTGAACCATTAACTTCCCAGTAAGACAATTGATGGTTTAAAAAAAAGTGTAAACTCTGCTAGTCTAAACTGGAGATTGTACAAATGAATGTCTGGCCTACTATTTTGTAAATAGAACTTAGGCTGTGAATGGGGGAAGCATTGCCAACTCCTACATTTCCCTGTTGGTAAGTATGATCTCCAGAAAGCAGCAAGCAAAGTTTCCAATTAAGTAAGTATCACCCATTTGCATTCTCCAGAACAAATCCTTGGTGAAAATAAAAATATTGCACTGTCACTCTGAAAAGCCATTCAACATCCTAGGAGGTTAGAGGTTACTGGCAGTAAATGGCAAGGAGGAGGGTGATACTAAGTGAGAGAGCAGGCTGATGCGTCTCCATGGAGCACTGGCAATCTACAAACCGGTTTGAAAATCATCGTATAGCCTAATGTATGCTGGTTGGATAATAGTGGCTACAATTGCCTTTAGTACCCCGGTGAGTCTAGCTTATCACTAAGAACACCAGTATTCCCCTCAAAGTACACATACGACCTTGCCCATGAGTAGAAAAGAAATGCTGTTGCATATGGTGAGAAGGCCTGCCTTTACTTAGCCCAGAAGTCCACCTGCTCCATTCTTCCTATGTTCAACCTGCTTTATTCTTACTCATCAAGCATTGGGGGGAAATGGAAAGGATCTTTCAAAGGTTATTTTGCAATTATTATTTATTTAGTTAAAAAAGAAGTACGTATGTTCTGTCCGTGTACGTCACAGAAATAAGGCATCACTATAGCAGTTTCTCTGGGATGCATGGATTGATTCTGGCTGAAGGAAGCAGTCCTGAAAATACCTTACTAGCAAGTCAGGTGGTGCTTTATAGAATTTTGAATTACACTAAAAAGGCTGATAGGAAGGCAGTGTAGATCTGCAATACCAGCATAATATGATCATTGCAATAGATGCCAGCTAATATCTGGGCCTTCACATGATGAACTTAGCTAAGTGGAGCTTTTGAGTGATCTTCAGAATGGTCTTCCACATATAGAGTACAGTGCATGACTGGAATGATGACAGCATTAGTTACAGCTGTGAGGTCCTGCTGCTCCTGGTAGGACTGTAACTGGTGTGGCAAAACTTAGGGAAAGGCCTCCTGGCCATGCCTTCACCTGCCCATCTATCAATAACCAGGAGGACCTCTCCAATAAAGGGTTTTATTGCATTAACCTTGTAGCAGGTGGAAGGAGATATTGCTGTTAAACGAGTTGCTCCATTTTTATAGATCACCAAATAAGACTCAGACCTCCAAATCTGGGATGATGCCCCTATGAGCCCCTCTATGAGGGAGACGAGCGATTAAGAAGATTGATAAATAAATAAATACTACAGATCTCCTCCTGTGCCTCTCCATCCAGAGACAACCCTAGGGCAGTCACAACCCCTCAAAGTACGAATGGCAACTCCATCTTCTTGAACTCAAGATGCCAAAGGTAAGCTTGGTGTAGCCAAAGACCTATGGTTGGCAATGGCAATTGCTTCTGATAAAAAAACTGACAGAAAGAATCTGGGAATAGAAGCATCAACATAAGAAGGAAACTTCATCTTGAGACAACTTAAATTGCATTGGGAGGGAAAGGCATCAATACCCAAAGCACCATTCTCAGGTGGATGAATAGTGATTTCCCAGATTTGGAGACCTCAGAATGACCTTTATTTGGTCAGCTGTAAAAATGGAACAGTTCCTTTAACAGCAGTGTCTGCTGTCACCTCTATAGTTAATGCAATAGAACGGGGGTGTCAAACTCAAGGCCCAGAGGATGCTTAGATGTGGCCCGTGGGGCCACCCTGGAAACAGAAGGTCTGGCTCGCAGTGCCTCTGCCAACAAAAATGGAGCTGGGGGGGGCATGTGTGGCCCTCACAAGCTTCATTTCAGCTGTGAAGGCCTCCTGCAGCCCCCTGCCAGGGAAAATGGAGCACCCCTGAGCTCCGTTTTCGCTGGCAGAGGGCTGCAGGCCATCGCATTCAAAAACAGAACTCACAAAGGCCACGCATGGCCCTCCCAAGCTCTGGTTTTGCTGGCAGAGGGTTGCAGGAGGCCACCACAGCTGAAAACAGAGTTCGGGAGCCCTTTTTGCTGGCGGAGCACTCGGCCACAGGTGCCCCCAACACAAGTGATGTCAAGCTGGCCACGCCCCCCGTCAAACACAACCCTAATGTGGCCCGCAATGAAGTTGAGTTTGACACGCCTGCAATAAAAGAATCCTTCATCATCTCAATTCCTCCTTTCTAGAAGTGAGACCACTAGAATTGCATTTAAATGCTTTGCCTCTGCTGTCATCTCCTGGACACATTGTGCAACCACAAGTCCTAGGAAGAAGGGCTATCTTTGCAGCTGCAAGCTTTCAAACTCTTCAGCAGAGACCTGTTTTGCTGCTTGCTGAGGCTGAAATCAATTGCAGAAACACAATTCTGATTATCCTACTATAGCAGCTTTCCTTATGGTACTGCCCGCCAAACCCAACCTTGGATTGGGATTATGGGAGAATTAACTGGGAAATTCTGAGTTATAGACCCAAAGATCTCAAGGATATCAAGCTGGGCAAGACTCGTAACTCTTGTGAAAATAATTTGAGCCCTATGTAGATGAAGGAAGTAGGTAGAGATTGCTAATAAACTTTGCAGTAGAAACAGCAATTGTTGCTGGTGCTATTCATCCGTGTGACAAGGACTGTGGTGTTCCACCAGTCACATACATGAGTCATGCTTACAGGCCCTTTGATAATTAGCAAAAGAACAGATGGAAAAGGATCCAGACTCCCAGCCAAATACACTATTATCAATGTTCCAGGAGAACAGTCACATTTATGAACTAGAATAGCGAATTCAAAATGGAAGTACAAAGGACTGCAGAAGAATCTGACCATAAAATTTTAATGAAGCAAATTAAATTCAACAGCCAATGGATGGGATATGGCTGTCAGAAGCTTTGAGAACCCATGTGTACATTAAAAAAGACATAAGATTTCCCACTAGAAATGCTTTGGCAATGGCCACTTGAATTCCACCATTTAGCACTTCATGAAGATTATGTGAGATTTCAGATATTTGGCAGGACGTCTGTAAAGGATATGCAAAGTTTTATCTACTATTTGATTCATCATTCACTCTGTTGATGGGAGGCAATATTACATCTTTTTTAAAATATCTCAAACTACTACATACTCACACATCTGCTGAATTTTGAAAACATCTGTGTTGCTGAATCCAAATTATAACCACAGCTGTTTAAAACAGGGTTTCTCAATCTTGGCATTCTTTTATTTATTTTTACATTTTTGAACATCACCTTCAAAGAGGGCCTATAAAATGTGAGCTTCAACTCCCAGAATTTCCCAGAAACATGAATTCAGGGAGTTGAAGTCCACCCATCTTAATGTTGCCAAGGCTGACAAACATTGCTTTCAACAATTGGGAATCAGAACTGACAAATCCCTACACCCAAATCTCCAAAACTGAGTAGGTTTCCATCCCCCACAAATGTGTAATGACTCTTCCATTTTCCATTTTCCTCTTTCCATTTCTTCTTCCAGAGAAACCCAGATTGAGCTCGACTCTCAGCAATGGAAGCTCACCGGGTGATTTAGGCCAATCTGAGGGAAAAGTGAAGCGCCAAGGGCTCCTGGAAAAACATTAGAGTAGCTAAATCTCGCCAACTGCAATTAAACGAACCGCCACAATCTCGTCAAATTCTTGTCGTCAGCTCAAAATGTTGATGGGAAACACGGGAGCCGTCCGGTTGGGATTGGATTTTCTTTATCCCCACCGCCACCCACCCACTATTGGAGAGCTGCAAGTTCCCCTCCTCAAATTAAACCCCCCTTTGAGTGCCTTAAGGGGTTGCCTTCCCCACCCACCCACCCCCACCCTCACGCCGGCATTGAAAGTAATTCCTGCAACCCGAAATTTTGCAAACGTCTTTGAAAGCCTCCGCCGTTGCCGCCCGCTTTCCTTCTCGGGCCAGGTCGGGAAAGTGAGCCGCAGCCCGCTCGAGGCTCCCAGCTCTGCGCGAGAGGAGTTGGAAGCGCTTCCGCGCATTTGCAATGGGCGTACCTCCTCCCTCTTGTCTTCGCTTTCGCCTTTCCCCAGCGTGGAACTTCCATTCCCTTCCCCGGGTTGGCCTCGCCTTTGGATCCGCCTCCGCGCCCGCCCGGCCCCGTGCTTTCCTTTAGCGATCCGCCTCCCCTGAGAACCGAGTCGGCCTGTGCTTGGCAAGCTGAGGGACTCTTATTCTGAAAGCGGGGCGGCTGGTGCTCTCACTTGCTTAGTCATGGTGACTTACACCCCATCTTCTTCTCCTCCTCCTTCTCCCGCCCTCCCCACCCGCAGCGGCGGCTGCCTGCACTATGGAGGAACAGAGGAGGTGGGGCGCACAGCTGGACGGAGGTGGGGAAGGAGGCGGCGGCCGAAGCGGGCATCGGGGGCAACCATGGAGGGGTGAGTAGACCCTCGCGCCAGCGCTTCTGGACCCGTGCACGGGCGGGAGCTTGCCGCGCGCGCTGTGCTGCGCCTCGCTCTCTCTCCATCCCTTTCCGAGCAACGGAGCGCGTAGAGGCTCGGATCCACCTTTCTGGCGGCGGTTGGAAGGTTGCGCCGGGGCTGCAAGGTTTCCTTGCTCTCTCCTTCCCGTAGCTCCGAGGGGCGACCGATGGCGGGGAGGGAGAATGGCTGGAGTTCTTGTCACCCGCCGCGAGCGGGACAAGGTAGCTCGTCCTGGGCTTCGGAGCGGCGGGAGCCCGAACGCCGCCTCCGCCTTTGTTATGTGGTGGGCACGGAGGCTGTGGTGATTACGAGAGGGAGAGGTGCGAGGGGGTGCAGACTTCCGGGCTTTGCAGTTGGAGCGGGAGAGACGGCGAGCTTGAGGCCTGGAGGTGGCGGCGTCTCCGGCTCGAAGTTGGAAGAGCGCAATTTTGAACCGTGTCGGTGGGATCTCGGGTGATGTCGGTGTGAATCTGATCCAAGCGCGTACAAGGGATCTCGGGCTGACGTCTTACATTTTGGGAAAGAAATGAACGGCCCGCAGTCTGGACAGGGAACACAGTGAGGAAATCAGAGCATGCTGGGCCAAGTTGTCCTGGTGGAAGAACACGTGTGAGCCGTAAACGAAATGGCCGAGTTTGTAGGTGGCTGCCGGAGAACTGTACTTAGATATCGGGCAGCAGTTCCGTGAAGGAAGGGCTTGTCGTCCAGCCCTCTGGGCCTACCACAGTGACAGCAACCAAGCTCCCTTCAGCGTCTCCTTTAGGTGACCTCATCCTTAATTGTCAGCTAAAGCTTGGAGAAGCAGGGAATACAGAGTTGTGAGGAGAGATAGTGTGTTGATGGATTCTTAATTGATAATCCTTAAAAAAAAAAACATAATTCAAAATATATTGCAAACTGTGATTTTTGGAAATTCAAGATTTACAAAAGTGCCCCCCCCCCCCAATTTCTTAGGGCCCTTCCATATTTGTTGCATTTCAGAAATGCTACATAGGAGTTTCATTCTCCTTCAAGCCCAGGTGCCTGAGCTAGTGCTGACTTGGATCTGCAACTCAGCACCTATTTGAAGGCCTTGAGTGATGCTATCTGAAAAGCAACCAGAGAGATGCAACTTTCTATCTTGAAGAAAAATAATTCATTTCATTTCCAAGCTTCCATGTTACTATGGTTTTTATGTTCTGTCAACTGTTATGGAAGGAAGTGCTTCTTGATTAAACAAGGCAAGTAAAATTGGGAGCAAAGATTACCTGTCATACTTTGGTTTTCATTCACAACTAAAAGAGCAAGCTGGAGCTTTGTGGTGTTCAAATTGTTGTTGTTTTGCTGATCCAATAATACTGTACTTGATTAATCTAGCAACTAAAGCAGGAGGATTGTGCTGACTACAACTTTTAGTGGTCTTCACCTGTATGGATAACAAGGGTGCTGGGCTAGTTCAGCAACACTTGAGGACAACAGGTATTCCACAGGAAATAAAGTTAGGTCTCCTTTAAATTGAACTCAGGTCCGGTTGACTACCTGGCATTTCCATGTAGTTTTCTTGACAACAATGTACCAGGGGTGGGTTTCTACCAGTTCTGTCCACCTCTGTAGAACCGGTAGCTCTGAAGAGCAGCAGACATAGAACCGGTTCTGTCTGCTGCTGTTTTGGCCCACCCCACTGGCCGGGGTCTTACCTGATCTTTATTTCCTGCTTTTTCAACTGCAGCTGCTTTGCACGACACAGCTGCAGTTGAAAAAGCAGGAAAAAAGGACTTTTCCAACCACTGCGCACTTGCACGCAGTCGCACTTGTACAACTCGCACACAGAGCGACAGAATTGGTAGTTATACCAGTCGGATCCCATCCCTGCAACGTACAAATAGCTTGCTGCTGCCTAAGGTGTTTTTTTTTTTCAATTGTTTTCCAGTCAGGAATTTTTCTGTGTTAAGTAGTAACCAGGTCCAATGCTGCTTAGAGTCTTGAGCATAATTATAAAGTTTGCTTTATTTAAAAGAAAAAAATATTTTGGTATGATTTAATATTCCTAAACTGTAGAATGGAGTAGTCAGAAATAAATTCTTTGCTCTAATAAAGGTTGCACCAAAGATTGATCATTTAATTTCTATTACCAATGTGAGTAAGCCTAGAGAAGCTAAACTGGGAAAAGGAATCCTAACAAGGAATTAGATCAAACTGTTGTAAATTGGAAGCAGGCAAATACTCATTTGGCTTAATTGTCTTAAAAGTGTTTTTAACTTCCAAAAAGCGATGGATAAATACATAACATAATAGCTTGACTAGCTACAGAATAAACCTAGGAATGCAGGTATAAAAGACTCTAGATTCATAAGTTTCTTTCTTGGAATCTCTGCAAGCACAACAGTTTTATGTTATTCTCATGCGAAATCCTTGGAAGAGGCCTTCCTGCTTCAGGTGGGAATTCAGTATGTAGACAAAGTAACTGTTATAGAGCAGAAGTGGAAATTGGCAAGGTTTCTTGGCATGGTTTTCAACAACTCTCAGCCTATTTCTGCTCAACACTTGTCCTCTCCTTAAAGAAACTGTTCCTCAGCAGGGCCAGAAGTACTACAAGAATGGGGTGGGTTTTTTGCATCATAGTTTACAGAGAGCAGTTGAGCGAGGCACTTGTATCAAGTTCTAAAGTTGATCTCCTAAAAGCACATGACTTTGGAAGGAGGAAGGCTTTGTTTACCTGTAGCAGTAGATAATGATCTGGCCTTCTAGATTATCCTCCTGGGCTTCATAACATGGTCAAAGTGTGCTTACTTAGAATGATTACTGCTTTAATTGGAAGTAGTTGCAAGATTTAAAGGAATATGCACATATGTCCATTTTATTTTTTCACATATTCATTTGTTTGTAGTTTACAGGGTTTTTTTCTTTTATTCCAAACTCAGATCTAGAAAAGAATTAGAAAATGGCCAAAACTTTGATGGCCTGGCCAAACCTAATACTGATATGATTTTGTGACATTTCTTTACTTTATTATTAATTTATATCCCACCTTTATTATTTTTACAAATAACTCAAGGTGGCAAACGTATCCAATATTTCTTTCTCCTACCCTTTTTGTCCACAACAACAAACCCCATGAGATAAGCTGGACTGTGAGAGTGGCCCAAAGTTACTCAGCTGGCTTTTATGGTTAAGACAGGACTAGAACTCATAGTCTCTGTTTCTAGTCTGATGCCTTAACCCAGGGGTGTCAGATTTGCCTTAACCCAGGGGTGTCAGATTTGCAGCGTCACGTTGTCACGTGACATATTGCAACGTTTTCCCCCTTCGCTAAACCAGGGATGGTCATGGCCAGCACATGAGGCATCCAGCTCACAGGCTGCGTGTTTGACACCCTGCCTTAACTGCTAGACTGACAATAGGGTAAGTTCTGACAACTCCGTATTTGTATGTTATAGCCAGGATTTCAAACATGCATGGCAGTCAGTTCTTGACTACTCTTGCTTGCTACAGTTGTTGGGGGGAAAACATGGATGCTTCTTCTAAGGATATATATCATATTTACAAGCATCCTTGGCTGGCTTCTAAACAAGTCAGAATCAGAAGCTGTGATTTCTTTTTGGCATCTATTCCCTGAGTTTTTTGGGAAGGAGAAGCCTGGTTTATAATCCATTTATTAGAAAAAATATACATATTTAGACCCTAGAGGGAGGAACCAAACAGAAGCATGTACTAGAATGATGGTCCAGTCATGATACGTCACATTTTGTGACAATTCCAGCTAACTCCAACATGTAAATATTCCCATTTCATTTAATACATGACTTTCTGTTCTGATGCAAACATTTTGGAAGCAAATTTTGTATTTGTATTAGATCAGGTTTAGCAGCAACTGACGTAATTATGGAGATGCACGGATATGATTGTTTTGATTCCCTTCCTAGGACATGTGCAACGTTTGTCCACTGTTCTTGCAACATCTCTTAAAATATTTGAAGATGACTACAGCTCATCTACTGAATTAGAAAAAATACACAAATACATCAGATCTTGTTAGTACCTCACTTATGTTATTAGGCGATAAGCCCTTCAACACTGGAATTATTTTGGTAGACTATTGGATTTATTACTTTTAGGCAAGCGTATCCTTCCCTTTCTAACCCATCATAGAATATGGATACTGGAACTATGATAAACAAGAGTTCTTTAGAACCCTTCTAGCACACTAGACTGTTTGGACAAAAGATATAACCATATAGCCTTGTTGTTCCAGATGCCTTTAATGTGCTCATCAAGTTGAGTTTATCAGTGTTAAGATGGGTAAGATTTACCCTCTAACAAATTCCATATGCTGATATTAAAGCCTGCTAACTACTATGTTTGGTCTGTACTGATGATGTAATTGATAACATTCTACAGAGAAGATTCTGCCAATAAAAAAATAATTTTATATTAAGTCAGTAGCTGTATTTTTTTTTAAGTAACAAATTGTTGAGCTGGGATACTTGCACATCTAAATTAGGGTATATGTGGGCAAACTAATGTTCACAAAACTTAAATTTTCCCATTTCTTCATGTTTTCCAACTTTACTATATATTTTTTATCTTATTAAAATAAAATTTTAGAATGCTGTCTTCCCCAAACCTCTTTCAATTTTTCACCCCTATCCTGAGTATTTTGTAACCCAGAGGAAACCAGATACTTCCTTGTGCCCAATTAGATGACTCAGTTAAGACCACGTTTCTGGCTTTCTAATTCATTTTATAGGTGTGTGCTTCAGAAGAAAAATGCATCCTCTCTGACACAGTTAACATTTCTAGTTAGAAAGAAGAAGCCTGTATTTGTTTATGTTGGACTGAGTGTTGCTCCTAATCCTCTCTCATTCTGGTCTGATGAAGTCTCGATTGCTTCTCTTCCAACATGAGCTCAGGGTCTGTCATGAGAGCAGAGCTTTGAATCAGAGCAATATCTGTGGGAAAAGTGAGGTAGTTTGTGAATTTTGCTCAGGAAGGACACCAGGAACTGGTAAGACAAACCATCCATAATGGGGCATATCCATCCTAAGGACCCTATCTAAAATTACTACATGGAGAGTAGGAAATGGGTATTACGAAGAAATTCAGTCTTAAATAGTTATCTCCTTGGCAACTTGTAGCTTGTTTTCTTAGGTCATGGGAGGCGAGTCAAGCTTGAGGAAACAGGGCAAAATGTCAAAATCCTCAATTCACATTCCGCACAAAGGTAAAGAGATTTCAGGCTGCTTGAATTTAATTGCTACTGTGCTGAAATTGCTGGATCCACCAATCAGATTAGAAGCACATACAGTACATTTAGGAGCAGCCTGTCCTTTAAACCTGGAGCCCATTTTGAACCTAGGGGTTTATGTTCAATAGCGATTAGAATCTTATGTATGCTGATTTGCCACCTGAAAGCCTAAACATTCCTGCTATATGCTGTCGTCTTGTTTTGGTGGAATAAGCCAGGATAATTTTCACTGTATGCACCAGCTGGACTGGATTCCCCAGGCATTTGTGTTTGGCAAGTTTTAATCCCTGAACATATAGCAGTGGTGTGTGTAGTTGTGTATGAAAGCACCGTTCTTGTTGCATGTGACCATGTAAACTGAGTATGCAACTGCTACAGTAATCTAATCAAAAACCCATCCCCCCCCCCAAGCTCAATGCAATGCCATTTTAAAGAATCTTCATTGGAGAGGCACAGTAAATAATTGCTGCCCATCTCGCTGCAAATACACTACTCGCCTTCTGTTAAATTTCAAGGGCCTTTTGTTTTTCTTCACTTCATTGGATTGATTTAAACTTTTGGTTTAAATGCCTTTCATAAATAAGCCACGTCTGTGAATTAAAAGAAATGGACAGGTAGCACTGAAGCGGTTTACAGGGATGTCTTATTCTTCAAAGCCTCATCCATTATGAGCCAGCTTGCGTATTTAGTCAGTTTCTCTTGGCTTCCAGTTTGGCCTGAATACAAGGGCAAGCCACTTATGAAATCTTGCCATGAAAACTTCAGGGACTTGTCCAGGCAGTTGCTAAGAGTCACCACTACTTGTAGGCACCCCGAAAAGCCACAAACTATTGTGAAGGAGGAATATGAATTAATCTTACAATAGTATATTGATTGCAGTGCGAATCGTGGAGGAAATACCTACAAACCTCAGTGGTCCTGGAATGACTAAGCAGTCCTAAGGTATAGCCTGCTGACTCATAGTGACTGTGTTAAGTAGCACAGAATGGCACTGTATGGCGCAGAAAGTTAGCTGTGCTTCTGATTGACCTGAAGGAACACATGAAAAGGACATCTTTGTCCCTCTTCTAATTGGAAAAAAAAAAAGGGAGTGGATAGCTTAATCTGAGCAATATTCCCTCATAAGTATTTTTATTTTTAAACTGTTTTTAATTCTATTTCAAGTGTATCTGTTATTCTTTGAAGCTAAGATTGCAGGTTCTGTGTCTGGCAAACCTCACATATATGTGTGCCTGTTTCACAGATGTGGGAAGGTTAAGGATGATCTTCTAGAAGGAGGTGCCTCCTGCCTCCTGAGTGAGGCAGCAGTGCAAAGCCAGAAGTGAGATGTTGCCTTGGGTCGTACACTACCTAACCAAACCTCTTGCTTCTCTGTCCCCTGTGCAGGTATCAAGACTTTGCTGCATGACAGGCCTCTGTAGGAAGGCCCTCAGCTTAGCTGCCTCTGCTGGTGCCCCTGTTCGTTTCCTGCATTCCTTCGTGCAATGACCACACGACTGCTTCTGTGATGTATGCTCCAGAGTGCAAGGCGGAGGTGACTCCTTCACACAATGGCAGTCGCACCTTCAGCTACACCCTTGAGGATCACACCAAACAAGCTTTTAACATTATGAATCAGTTGCGCCTAAGTCAGCAACTTTGTGACGTCACCTTGCGGGTGAAATATAAGGACATTCCCCCAGCCGACTTTCAGGCCCACAAGGTGGTGCTGGCCTCCTCCAGCCCAGTCTTCAAGGCCATGTTCACCATGGGCCTCCGGGAGCAGGGTATGGAGATAATCCCCATTGAGGGCATCCACCCCAAAGTAATGGAGCGCCTCATTGAATTTGCCTACACCGCCTCCATTTCCGTGGGTGAGCAGTGTGTGCTGCATGTTATGAATGGGGCCGTCATGTACCAGATAGACAGCGTAGTGAAGGCCTGCTGTGACTTTTTGGTGCAGCAGCTGGACCCCAGCAATGCCATTGGCATCGCCAACTTCGCTGAACAGATTGGCTGTACCGAACTGCACCAGCGGGCACGGGAATATATCTACATGCATTTTGGAGAGGTAAGACCCTGTGCAAGGAAAGGGCACCAAGGGGAACAGGAGGAGGCGGGGCATACCGGTGTTCAAAGGAGGTCTGAATTAGAATATGGCCTGGCTTTTGACTGCCTTTCACAATTTATTTCCTGTTCTTGGTTATGAAAAAACAACTCTTCTATCTCTTCCAAAGAGGCAAGATACTATTTCTCCCCCCCACCCGCCTTTTTTTTTTTCTGTGCTGCAAATCTTTCCTAGTTACCACCTGGATGTCTGGTATAGACTCATTGTGTTTCTGCAAACGTAAGGGGCTGGAAACTTGTTATTTTGTGGAAATTGCTTAATAAACCCTGAAAAGTTGGGGAAAAAAATAATTCTGTAGCCATCAGTGGCTTCTGCCTCTTTTCTAAATTTGCAAATAGAACGAAGCTAATGGGTTGGTTCATATGTTTATTAAATGGATATCCTGCCTTTCATTCAGGAGTCCTAAGTGGAAGAGTCCTAGCACTCTTCCTTCCTTTTTTTCTCCCCACCACCTCTTCCTTATCAGAGATTGGGCATAAGTATAATAGACCCAAAGTCATCAAGTGAGCTTCCATGGCTGAGGCTGGTTAAGAAACTGGACCTCTCTGTTCCTAGCAGAGCCCTTGGCCATTAAACTTGCCCACCCCCAGGATTTCTGCTGGGAGACCCAATCATCTGGCTAAACAGGGCAAAATAAAATAGGGAGACTGTATGTCACGTGAGATTCTGCAGGAAAGGGGGTATTTTCCTGTCCGTATGCAAAATCTGTCCATAGGTTTTGTGTCAATGAATGTAGCGGTGCTCCATGTTTGTTCATAATATTCAAAAATATCCTCCCTCTTTATTTTGCCATCTTCAGAAGAGAAGTTGGCGGTCTTGTTGCTAAGGTCCCAACAATAACTAGCCTGTAAGAATTTTGCTTGCTTTCTTATTAATTTACAAGAGTAAATGCCAATCTCTATTTTAGGGGGAAGAATTGAGAATACTGTAGACTGTCAGGAGAGGTATGGCTTCCTCTTTTTTCATTGCAGGGTTCATTTTCCAGCCATTTCAGAAGCCCAGAGGAAACAGGGTGTTAGCTATTTCTGTGTTAGATCTGCCACTCCCTGCTGATCCAGCACAAACTAACATGGATTGGCAAAGGACTCTGGCATTGCTTTTTTCCTGCTCCAGTAGCCCCTTTGATTTCTATGCTGAATGCACCAGAAAGAGCTTTGTCATCGGAGACCAATAAAGCTTTGCTTTGTGTTATTAGTGAAAGTCCATCCAAAAGGGCTGACCAAGTAGAACAGTATCCCTAATTTTGTAGCCCATATGCCTTCCTTGGGTTTCCTTCATTGTCAATCCCAAACATGAGTGATTAGATAAAGGAAAGCCAGGTTGTGGTTACTCCCCTTCATCTCTCTGCACATCCTTTGTTTTTGCAAATTAACTTGGTTAGAATTCCTGGTTGCTATTGGCAAAAGATTTAAAGGCAAAACTGCAGCAGAGGCATGGGAAGAAATCATCAGATAGAATACCCAGGCACCCACTACACATTTTTTATGTGTGCAAAGCATTACCATAGAAATGGGACACAATATGATGATTGGATTGGTGGTATTTTGCGTTGTACAGTTGTGCAGTTTACAATGTTTTGGCTGCAGTGAACAAGCCATATTTGGGTTTGGATTAATATACACATTCTACCTTTGTGACAAAGATGGGGAATTTACTGCTTAGAGTCAGTCCAATAAATTGACCAGATGTTAAAATGCAATGACAAACTAAACCTCCCACAGGGAAACCTTTTGTTAGAAACAAAGTTAATTCAGTACCTGGATTTTATGAGGGGACAACTGTTTTCCTCTTTCTTCATCCTAGCAGACCATAAAAGAACTTGTATGTAATCTGACATCCGTTTTGTATCTGAAGCCTAACCTGTAACTGCCAGCCTCAGAATTTAAGATTGGGTTTCATCAGATACAAAACTTGCAAAGATGGCTTGAATTCCTCATTTGAATCTCCTGCCAATCTGATTGTCATGTTTCCTAAGAAAGAATTTTTCTAAAAATTGGAAACTTGCATGCTTTATTAAAATTCTTTTCATCTACTAATAATATTGCCTAAAGTGTATTTTGCAATAGGCATAAACATTGCACCTTGTTTCCATTCATCAGTGGACAGTCTCGTCAGTCCTGAGAGCTAAATGAGAATGAAGAGTCCAGCTTCCTGTTGGCTTAATTGTAATCCTTGCATTAGTACCAAGAACCACATTGCAAGCTGTCTGAATTTTTATTGTCTTCCTGCTGCTGGTTTAAACCAGGGGTGTCAAACTCTCATCATCATGTCATCATCACATGACATATCGGGACTTTTCCCCCTTTGCTAAACTGGGCAGGGCAAGCACATGGGCCGTTCAGTCCATGGGCCGTGAGTTTGACACCCCTAGTTTAAACTCTCATCCAGGAAAGTCATTTCTTTGATTTGCCTGTCATGTATTCCCAAGTGAATACATACAGACACAAGTACATCACACAATAGCCACATATGGGGAGAATGTTAGAAAGACAGAAAGAAATGAGATGTAATATCAAAATACAAAGAAATGAAAAGAAAGATTAGAAAGTACCTGATGTATCTATTATACAAAGCTTTTTTCAAACCTAATATTTTTCTGTGTTTTGTTCTACTATATTTTCATTTATCCTTAAGTCTTATTCATGTTCTACAAATATCCAGAGCCTTGCCCATGGATTGTCACTTACCCTACCAAATTAGTTTAATATTCCTGACAGGTTGAGCTAAATTTTAAAAACCTGTTTTGCTTTCCTTGGGGATCACATCTGATAAATTGAATTTAAAGGTGCTGCGTGGGAGGAAAATATGCAGGGTGGTTATTTCAGCCAGTTGTGAACAATAGTATTGAGTCTGTAAGAATCCACTCATTCTCCTTTTAGGATTTTTGTTATTGTAGAAATTATCAGTCCAAAACCTTTGCTCTAGGCAGCCTTTATGACTGACAAAATAAAAATCTGCTTATGGATTCTAGAATGCTGCTAGATTATCGTTTCATACTGATAATTTCAGAGGCTATAAATTCTATTTTTTTCCAAAACTTTATATTCTTTAAACTTAGGGCAGTTCTTCATAGCAACCTTCAACTACTGGTTGATTCTAACTGAAGATGAACCTGGTTTTAAGAAATCTCTGTTTGGATTTCAGGTTTTGACCATGATGCTGGTCAGATGTTCTTTTTGGACCTTATTTTTTACGGGTCCTGCATGGTGGATTCCTCTGCTTCTTTATCTTACCTGCAAGTGCTAGAAAAGCAGTTGCCAGTTGCTTTCTTTTCTGCAGATCTCTGCAGGCATGTGTTTTCCCTCTTTGTGACATTCAGCCACCATCCAATGATCTGTGCAGAAAGAGTCCTAGAGCTCATCTAGAGCAGATTTTGCTTGCTTCTGATGAGCATATCATCTGTCTGTTGTGGACATCATTAGAAGGGGAAGCCACCCTTCCAAACTTTTGTGGTTTTGCTCACGGTCTCTCTTCTCCTCCGTTAGGTGTCCAAGCAGGAGGAGTTCTTCAACCTTTCACATTGCCAGCTGGTGACCCTGATCAGCCGAGATGAGCTGAACGTGCGCTGTGAGTCAGAAGTCTTCCATGCTTGCATTAACTGGGTGAAATATGACTGTGAGAACCGGCGCCTCTATGTCCAGGCCTTGCTGAAAGCTGTGCGCTGCCATTCCCTCACGCCACACTTTCTCCAAATGCAGCTGCAGAAGTGTGAAATCCTCAAGTCGGACTCCCGTTGCAAGGACTACTTGGCCAAGATCTTCCAGGATCTCACCCTGCACAAACCCACTAATGACATGCCCTGCCGTGCACCCAAGGTGGGTCAGCTGATCTACACCGCAGGGGGCTACTTTCGCCACTCCCTGAGCTACCTGGAGGCTTACAATCCTTCCGATGGCTCCTGGATCCGACTGGCTGACCTGCAGGTGCCTCGCAGCGGCTTGGCTGGCTGCGTAGTGAGCGGACTGTTCTATGCAGTGGGGGGCAGGAACAACTCTCCCGATGGCAACATGGACTCGGATGCCATTGACTGCTATAACCCCATGACCAATCGATGGTCTCCCTGCGCCCCTATGAGTGTGGCCCGTAACCGAATTGGTGTGGGAGTAATTGATGGTATGATCTACGCGGTGGGCGGTTCATTTGGGAGCACTCATCACAACAGCGTGGAGAGGTAAGGGAAAAACCTTCCCAAATCTGGCTTGTATATTCTGCTCCCTTGCAAGGCAGCCTTCACAAATGCAAAATGGACGTATAAGGCTCTAGAGACCCGGGCAATGTATTTTGCTCTGGTTGTATCCTTTTGAAGATTTCTCCTGTTTTTCAAAAGTGACGTTTTTATTCAGACCTGGCACGAAGAGACTTAAGCAGGTTTATGAGAGAAGGGGTGTCTCGAGTATCTGCACAATGTGATTGGATAGCTTGGGCTGTCCCCATGTGGAGGGAAAGAGATTGATGCTGGCTTTCCCATCAGCCTGTCCGTAGTAATATTGGAATGAGGCCTTCTTGGCAAAGGTAACAGGGACACCTGGATTTTTTTCTCAAGTACTCAGAAGTATTGATAAAGGGAGAAAGCACATAGAAGAGTTAATGGTGCAGATGAGGTAGAGTGTTTTGGAGAGCCTCTAAAATGGTAGTAGAGGGCCTGAAGAAAATCCATCGTGCTTCATCTCCTTCCTGTTTCATCCTTCATCCAGCTTTCTCCCTTCTTCAGTGGCTGCAGAGAACTGGCACAGTAAATCAGCAACTGTCAATTAGCATCCTTGTTCAAACAACCTAGACAGCAGAAACAAGTACCTGATGTAGCTTCTCTTTTTCCTCCAGGTACGAGCCGGAGCGTGATGAATGGCAGTCGGTAGCTCCTATGCTGACGCGGCGGATTGGGGTCGGCGTGGCTGTGCTGAACCGTCTCCTATATGCTGTGGGGGGCTATGATGGCACTAACCGCCACAACACCGCCGAATGCTACTACCCAGAGCGTGATGAATGGGAGACAATTGCGTCAATGAAAACTATTCGGAGTGGAGCAGGTATGTGCAGCAGCAGGAACTCCATACTTGAGGATACAGATGTAAAATTTCTGCAAACTACAGGGTGGGAAAAACTGGTCTTTTCTTTGTATTTTAATGGAAATTTAAAATTTGGGAAAATGCCAATATATGTACTTTTATAAGAGTCACTTTCACATTGTGATTCTAAGAATGTGCAATATGTATAACTTGGTTTATTCGTGTCCCCCTTGTCCCCTCTTTGCAGGATCTTTGCTCTTCTGATGTCTAGAAAGTACTCCTGTAACAAGTTGTAGGGCACCATTTGGGGGAAATAATTGACAGCAACATAGGAATCCTTTGTCATGCTCCTTTCATAAATCTAGTTCTTTGTTGTTTTGCTTCACTTTTTTTATCAAATTTTTTTATTTTTTTCTCAAAAAAATAAGGCAGGGGCAATTATCCTCTGAGCTTTCTTATGTCTAACTTCAACAGAGAATCTTCATAGTTGTACATTGTAACTAGCTGCTGTCTTCTCTCTTTTGTTGTTCCACCTCCTCAATTTAAGTCTGTTATCTTGGTGGAGGAGTAATTTGGGGCTCTGTGACTTTGTTCTTTGTTGCCGGGGATGGTAGCGGTATCCAGAAATAAGTAGGAATACCTAACAGGCAGTTATGTAATATGTTAGCTAAGCACTTGGTATATAAAATCCACACAGAATTAGATGCTGGCAGCATAGAGTTCAAAGATGTAACGGCTTACAATATCATCTGGGAAGGTTGAATCTTGAAGAAATGGGCAGAATTCTTGGGTGCAATGAGCTGTACTGTATTGGGTGCTTCAGACCCAACTGGTGATAGTTGTCCAATTTAGTTTTACACTGGAGTTCTGGATCTAAATTGAAATGGATGAACTCGAAGTTGATTTTCGTTGCAGCAAGAGTAGATTAGCAAGCT